GCCTAGTTCCAGAAGGGGCAGAGGAAGGTAGAATCTCCACTGAGTGGTTTCCAATCTGTAGGGACGGGGCTGATGAAAGGAGATGGGGATAAGACTCTTGTGGTACAATAGTGAATAATTGCTATCAGGACTGACTGTGAGGGTTGGAAATGTAAAGGCAGATGTGTTCTGCAACAAAAGGAGGGGAGTGGTTGATTTTGCAGTCCAGGAGCAGAGGTCCCTGGGACCATCAAGTGAGAAGAGCAGAGTGTGGGACCCTATGCAGAGAAGCAGTGACACCAGGGATGGAGGCCGAGATGATGATGTGGAGAGATGCAGTGGCTGGGGACTCTGGACTCAGGGAGGGAGAGGGGCTGTGTGCTGACAGCTGGGGGGCAGGCTTGCCAGGTGTACCCTTTGGTTGTTCGATGATGACGTATGGAGGGGATTGTAATCATTGCAATGTAACAAAACATGATGGGATGAATGTAAAGCTGGTGTTCTCCCATGTAAACTATCACATAATTTACAATAAAACTTAAAAAAAAGAATCTCATTGGAAAACTTTACCCAATGTATCCTGCAGCCCTGATCTTGCCCCTTCATACTTTTTGTTCCACAAATTCAAAGAACAATAAAAAATATATATGTTAAAAAAAAAAAAGTTTGGCCGTTGTAAAAGAGAAAACCTCAGAGACAAATAAGGTAGTTAAGTGAGGACAGAGACAAGAACTTGGAAATCCCAGTGGGTAAAGGCACAGGGCAATAATGAGTGAGATTTCATTGCTAGAACTCACCATCAGTAGTTGTTTGTTGGCTAGTGCCAATTCCTGTGCCATGGTGTCCTGATTCCTTAGAGTGGCATATGGGTTTCTCCTCTGGCTCAATGTCATCTGCCACAGACAGTGAGTATTTAATTCTTGCCATCTGCCCCAAGTATAGAGGTGGGGGTGAGTTGATTAGAGTTAAGAATGGAGATTTAAAAAAACGCATCAATGAGTCACCTTCTTCACCTAGAACCTTTATGCCAATGCCAGAAGACTGCACACTCCATTTGAAAAGATAGCTAGAACTGATTTAGTACCCAAGTTAGATGACTCATAGTTCATTCTGATATGGGGACCCCATATGTGCAGAATAGAACTGTTCCCTGGGGTTTTTCAAGGCTAACTTAGTGTGTTTTAAGTACATTATTTAATCACCACAATCATTCTGATGTAGGCATTAATTTTCACATTATACAGAAAAGGAAACTTAAAGTTCAGGTGAGTTGCTTAAGGTCACTTAATGGCAGACTTGGGTCTCATTTACAATCTCTGACCCAAAGGCTAATTAATACTCCTTCCACATCAGTGATTTAGTTTTTTTTTTTTTGGCTACTACTGGAATAATCCATTAAGGTATTTTTTTAAAATGAAGGTTTTAATACATAAAACACACTATTTTCATGTATTAAAAGCTTCATTAAAAAACTAAAAATATTTATGACTATAAGTTGTTAAGTGCTGTTGAATTGGTTCTGACTCATAGCGACCCTGTATAGGGTTTCCAAAGAGCAACTGGTGAGCTTGAACTGCTGACCTCACAGTTCAAACCGACTTTGCAGTTCAGCACATTAATCTGCAGCACCACATATTTATATGCAAAACTATGTATATCTCCACTGCTCAGGTAGACCCTGGTGACATTTTTAAAAAGTCTAAAGTATTGACAATGACTAGAAAATTAAGTTCACACAAAAATATATAAAATAAAAATAGCTTCTGCCCTAGTCCTTCCCAACAAACTTATCCATATCGTTTTTTGTGTATTCTTTCAGAATTTTTTTCTATTATATACCAGTAAGTGTATCTTTTTGTTTGTTTTAATGAGACCATACATTTATATAAGCAGTACTATTTGATCATTTGGACTTTTCACTTCAACACATAGAAATTGCTTTCTTATGTTTAAAAGTTGGATAGTATTTTTAAATCATAATTTAATCAGTTAGGCAGTTTTTAGCTGTTTAACTTTTATAAGCAGTGCTATCACAAACACATGTAGGTACTTTTGCAAGTATATTTATATAAGATAAATTCTTAGAAGTATAGTTGCCAATTTAAAGACTGTACAAAATTTAAAGTTTGATAGATTTCATTAAATTGTCTTCCTAAAAAATGTTACTTCAACCTTGTCCTGGTGTGCCATTGAATCGATTCCAATTCATAGTGGCCCTGTGGCGGTGGTAGTTGTGTGCTGTTGTTTCCAATCATAGCGATCCTTTATAGGGCTTCTGAGGCTGTAAATCTTTGCTGGAGCAGTAAACCTCATTTTTCCTAGAGCAACTGTAGAGCCAAATTACTGACCTTGTGGTTAGCAGCCCAGCTCATAATCCCCCATGCTACCAGGGCTCCTTCCAATGGCCCTGTTGTTGTTAATTGCCGTTGAGTCACTTCCAACTCTTAGCAACCCTATATAGGGTTTCCAAGGAGCAACTGGTGGTTTTGAACAGCTGACCTTGTGTTTTCCAGTCCAGTGCTGATTCTATAGTGCCACCCAGAAGTCCAGCGGCCCTCTAGGAGAGTAGAATTATCCCATAGTTTTCAAGGCTATAAATCTTCTCATGGAACAGCAGGTGAGTTTCAACCACTGGCTTTTTGGTTAGTAGTCAATCACTTAACCATTGCAGCTGACCACCCAGTCAGTGATGCTATATGACAAGAGTACAACTGTCTCATAGCATTTCCTAGGCTATAATTATTATGGGAGCAGATCACCAGGTCTTTTCCCCTATGGGGCTGCTGTTGTATTTGAACCACCAAATTTTTGGTGAGCAGATAAGAACTTAGCCCTCCTTGCTTCAACCTAAACTACTAAAATTTTGTGTTATTTTTCCACTTACAGAATTTCTAGTTCTGGGTATAGCTTGTAAAACCTTTAAAAATATGGATTCCTCTACCCATCCAGACCATTTTAATCAGAATCTCCAGGAGTAAGACCTGGGCATCAGTCAGTTTTAAATAATGTCCCAGGAGAAACAGATATACAGCCTAGTCTTTTGATAGTTTTCTCAGTGCTTACTGCATACTTATACAGGGTCGCTATGGGTCGGAATCGACTCGATGGCAGTTAACAACAACTGCATACTTACCACATCATTAAACAATGCCAGGCAACAAATAAACTCTCAAAACAAAAAAACCCAAGAACTACAACAAAAAAGTTGCTCCCCATTTTCTGAAAGAAAATGGGAAGAAAGGGGCCATGAAAACCATATATAATCTATAGAGCCTAACCTAGTGGGCTCTAAGGCACCTGGTGTGGCACTGTGGGTTAACGGCTGAACTATGAAGTCAGTTTGAACTACAAGGTCAGCAGTTCAAGCTCACCAGCTGCTCCTTGGAAACCCTACACAGGGTCGCTATGGGTTGGAACCAACTCCATGGCACTTCACAACAAAAAACAACAACAAAATGAGCATAGTGGATGACACTGGTTAAAGGTGTGGTTTTCTGCTCCCATAAAGATTTACAGCCTTGGAAACCCTATAGTCACCATGAGTGGAACCAACTCTACAGCACATAACCGCCACCAGTGGGCTCTAAACCCACTGCTGAGTGGATTCCAACTCACAAGGACCCTATAAAGGGTTTCTGAGACTAAATCTTTTAAGGGGCGCAAATAGCCCATCATTCTCCTGTAGAGTGACTGGTGGGTTTGAACTGTCGATTTTGTGGTTAGCATTCTAATGTCTAATCCATGACACTACCAGTGCTCCTTTAGAGGACATGCCGTTTTCATTCTTGAGCAGACTGTTGAGATTGGCTCAGGGAGGGCAGGTGGGTGAAAAGTCCATTCAGGAGAGCAAGGAAAAAGAGTTAAAAAGTAGAGATTACCTGTCAACCATCTTCTTAAGTTTCATGGTCCTTTGACTTTTCTGCAAGAAAAGGGAGTTGTTGATCTGTCTTATCTTCAGACCCTCACCCTCAGTACCTTGTTTTGGTCAGAGACACATAGATTTTTCCTTTTATGAGAGAAGAAGTCATCCATTTCCTTGGGGAGAAGACAAAAATCCCTAATTCTTTCAAAATGATCAAACGTGGGCATTGGGATGCAACAAATATTTAAATACTTGTTAAATGCTGTGGAGTCAGTTCTGACTCACAGCTATGTATTGGGTTTCCAAGGCTGTTAAATCTTTGTGGGAACAAAAGCCCTATCTTTTTCCTGCAGATTGTGGGCTCAAACCACCAATTTTGGGGTTCGTAGTCCAGTGCTTATCCTAAAGCCACAGGATAGTCTCCCACTTCTGTTCCTACCATTCTATTACATTAAGGGGGCTTTCTCAGGAAATGATCTACTTGATCATGGAAACCTCAAGGGAAACTCTTCAATCCGGTCCTTCCTTTCAATTCTGTATACCTTTTCTATGCTTGTTATCTTTTCCATAGACATTATCTACAGACTTGCTCAGTAGTCCTAGGAGACTGGGCGGACTTTCCTCTGTTTAGTTCAGTCACTAAGGTTTCAGTAGTCATAGCAACATTCTCGTCTCCAACAATGACCCAAGACCTAGGAGTTGATTGGTCACCTAGCCTGTCAACATTCAAGGCAGGCCAGTTGAATGAGCATGGACCAGTCTCAATTTCAGGGTTTCTTCCGTTGGGATCCCAAAGAATATCTGCCTGAATTCTAGGCCCAGGGTACCCACAGTACCCAAAATTCTTGAGGCAAGCCCACACACGCTGTTGGGCAGGTACAGAGAAAGCAGCATATACCTGTTTTATTATAAAACTGTAAAAGGAAAGAACCACATGCTTTATTTTTTAATAGTTCATTTTATTAAATAACCAATTTATAAAGTCAGACCAGTGCATTGGCTTGTTAGAGAAAGCCATTTCTTCACATTGTCCCATAGGATCCCCAATAAAGGAGGGTTGATAGGATTATGCCAGATTATCATAAGAGTCCCTTTTATTCAATTTATTCACAACATTATGGAATGAAAGTGAAATGACATATCATTGCACTTCAAGGAAAGTTGTGAATGTTACAACATATCTAGGTCTAAGTAGAGTACCAGGGTAAGCTGCTTCACATACCACCCACTCCCCCAAACTAAACCTGGCCCTCCAGTTCCTGTCTGCCTTTCCCACCAATTAACTTGAGATGCCCCAAACTTAAAACAGTTCTCATTTAACTGTGTACAACAGTGGGGTCGATAATGGAAGCCACCAAGTACCCTCACATCAACTCTAACCTTTGGGACTGAATATTCTTTAACAGGACAATTGAATTACCTAAGACCAATACCAGGTGAGGATTTTTAAGGAAGACTTGACAAAAACACTAAGAATAACAAATGAATTGAATTCCAGAAAAAAGTGCTATTTGGGGAAAATGGTTTTAGCTGTTGTTCTGAACTGTCCCATGACAGGGTCTCCAGGCATGAGTTCTGCATTACAAAGGGAGCTTCAGTCCAAGTCAACAGAGTCTGGGTCTGCAGAGCAGGATAACCTGAGGACCGCCCAGCATGCACACTGTAGTCCATCCAGTCTATAGGAGAGTCATTCAGTTTCATCACAGGGTACTCTCCAATGTATTATAGTTGTCTTTAAAGCTCTTCAATTCAAGGAAGTGCTTGGCACGTTTACTCTTTTGACTGGAGGGGAGGTATGTCACCTGGATTGTTGTTGGGGAGACATCTGGAGACTGGGTAAGGTCTTTGGCTGCTGACTGGTGGTGGCGCTGAGAGCTTCCACTTCGTGCTTTGACCCTAAAGAATACAGAGGGCAGGTTACTGCCAGTTGAGGAAGAAAACAAACAATTCAGGATTCATCCCATCTCATAAATGCAGTCATAGCCAAAAATGCTCTCTGTCCTATCTTGTAAATTAGGTACTTAAGTTCCATATGACAGATTAGAAAAAGAGAAACTAATTTCCCACTGAGTTCCTGCCTCTCACTCACCCTTTTTCTTCATCTCACTAAGCTTAGAGAAAACTCTTACTTCTGCCAATTCACCTTATTTGTATAAGCAACTAATGCTTATAAGCAACTAATGCTCCTAGTTATAAGAGAATTTTACTGTTAACCTTGCAGCTAGCAGCCCAATGTGTAACCTACTACCCTTTAAAAATGCAATACCAAAAAATAATAACAATAGCTACTGGGTACATACAACATGTTAGAACATGCTTGGTACTTAATAATTTCAAAACCCTGTATCCAGTGATATTATCCCTGTCTTTTAGGGTCCAATAAGTAAGTTGCCTGAGGTCACAAAGCTAGTAAGTAACAGAATTGAGCTTCAAACCTTAGTTTGTCAGATTTCAAAGCCTTTTTACTCTTTTCAGTATACCCACTGAGCCTTTTTAGAAACTAGCTATCCACTGAACTCTGAACAGATCTGCATGATTTCTAAATACCAAATACCCCTTTCCATCCTCTCCACGTTAATTTTCATCCCTGTTTTAATTAGGACCTTTTGTCTATAGGAACAAGGTAGTTCATTTTTAGAGGGAGAAGGAAGACAGTACAGACATTCTTTCATAAGTCTTGAGAAAGAACCGTACTCAACAAGAAGAGAATACATTCTTTTCATGCTTTCCCTTGTATACCAAGCACTTTCACTTTAATATTTGCATAAATAACATCATTGTGTTAACCCAAACCTGTTGCTGTTGAGTCTATTCCAATTCATGGGAACTCCATGTGTTACAGTAGAAATACTCCACAGAATTTTGAGAGCAAGCTCAAACAAAAGTCATGATTCCTCTCCTGTAACACAAACACTTCTCAGCTGACTCTACAGTAGTTTAGACAGGGATACTAATGCTGTTAAATGGTACTGAAAATGAGTGGTACTTAACTCTTACTTTTATTGGTTCAAGGCACAAAGACACTTAAGACTAGGGGGTCAGGAGAAAGCTCAGTGTGCTGAGAAACTTTGTTCCCTTTGCTGGACTACACTAATTTTGACATTTTACTGAGCTGAAGAAGAGATGCACAAATTTCTTTTAGCTTATAGAGTAGCATCTGCTTTCAATGTGAGCAAGCAGCAGTTCTAATAAGCTAAGAACCTGACAACTTATGGTATTAATAGATTTCTGCTTAAATTGCTCTACAAATGTTACCTCACTGTGGGCAGCCTGGCACAATTGTATCTTTTAACAAAATGGAGCCGACCTGCCAGTTCCCTTTAACACATTCCCTTCCAAACTCACGCAGTGGCCAGCTCACTCAGGGCTTCTTGATAGTGCAGGTATTCACTCTGGCCAAAGACCTGAGGAAAGAGGAAGAAACAATGAAGACCTTTCAGTCTAGAATATTCTAGTTCCTTGAAGAATAACTAGTCATTGAGCTTACCCCTGTCCCATAGCGAGCTGTCTCATAGCCATCCAGCAAGGTATCAATGAGGGCCTTGCGCACACCCTTGAAAGGAGTACTAGTGTTTCGAAGATCTAGCAGGTAGGAGCGGAAATTCCTGCCCATTAGGGAATGGGGATGCCGGCCTTCAGCATGAAATGGGATCTCTGAGGAGATAACAGCACAATGATACAATTTTGCTCACTTTTCCTAGTTGTCTATCTAGTTAATTTCTCAAACTCTAGAGACATGTCCAATGTAAATTGTGGAATTTTAATAGAATTACGGGCAGTGTATTTGGTGGTAACAATATAACCGTAAGCTCTATCAATGATACAAGTCAGTAAGTGTCCTTTTCACCCATCTACCTTACTGATGTTTTAGAAAAACACAACATATACCAAGGGGTTTCAAAAGTTCTATTATCCTTTTTTTTTTTTAAGTTATTTTTATTGTGAATTGTGTGATAGTTTACATGGGAGAATACTGGTTTTACACTCATCCATTCATCATTTGCAATGAGTACAATCTCCACCATGCACGATCATTCAATAGTATTTTTGCTTCTATTCTCCTTTTTTTTTTGGTTGGGGGGGGGCAGGATGTACACAAAAAAAGTTCCATTATCTTTTAATTACATTTTTCCATGAATTTTTTCAAGCGCCCTCATATGACAAATGATCACAGAATGGAAAAAGTTCAGGAACCACCCACCACTCGGTAGTGAAAAAGTAGATGTTATCTGTTTTTAGAAATTGTAGTTAAGTATATATGTAACAGATCATTTGCCAGTTCAACATTCTTCATGTGTACAATGCAGTGACATTGATGTTTATCATGTTGCTCAAGTCACCTGTCTTCTGTGGAAAACAACTACTACTATACAGCTGATGAAACTAAAGGTCTCAACGAAAGAAATTTAAAGAATTTTTTTTTTCTTTTAAAAAGCCACTCTTTGGAGTGCCAAAGAACTTGCTTACACCATTTTCTCAGGAAAAAGAGTAACCTAGTACACTTAAAACTACAGGAAATTCATGCTAGCCAGGGATGTACACAAGGCAAATCCTAACATAAATAAAGTAGGTTCATCACTCTTCTCCACAAGTGAGTTTCCAGAAACCTGTAGTGCACCCTCCTGGCTGGCCCTTACCAGAGGCACGGATGGCGTCCAGAGCTTTCATCCTGTACAGATAGTTGTAGCAATCTGTTGAGAAACAGTTTGGTCTCAGGCATAACCTTGAAAAGATCTCCCCAACTCCAGCAAGCTAATAAATTGCCTTCCCCCATGAGATATATGGATTCCCGGAGTGGCTCTGCAGGATCAGCACTGGACTGCAAACTACAAGGTCAGCAGTTCAGACCTACCCAGCTGTTCCTTGGAAACCTTACACAGGGTCACTAAGAGTCTGAACTGATTCCATGGCACCTAACATCAGATATACACTCTAATAAAAGAGTCATAGCTGCTGGTTTTGCCAGTATCTAAGTAGTTATCTTTGAGAGCAAAGGAATTTAGAAGCTGTAGGATTCCTCTCTGAAGCATCCTTCAAGAGAACGACCTTGCCACATACTTTGATTTCCTTGGGTTTCCAGCTGTAGCAACCTGGTATCATCATCTGCAAGGAGCTGGGGTTCATACTTGATATCCTGAACCCTGGATAGTCGAATATCAATCTCCTCTTTCAGATCCTGTGTTTAAGCGGATAAAAGAATACACAATCAGCTTACTCAACATTCTGCTTCCCAACTATCTGGAAATGGAGAACAAAGAAACAATTTTGACATAAGCAGAGAAAATGTAGCTACTAACACTAAAAGACACAAGAATTTAAGAGAAAAAAAACAGCATTGGATTTCCCTAAGAAACTCTCTAAACTGCATATCTTAGTTTGCTTTTCTAACTTGCTAGAATCCCTTTCAAGCTTTACAGCATTAACATTACTTCTGACTTTCAATTGGAGTAAGAATCTTAAGTTAGTTACTATAAACATTTCTCATGTTGGGAAAAAATGGATAGCAAAAGGAAATTATATATATTCTAAATCTATGAAGTCTATAATAGTTTGAGGATTATCTCACTTGGTGGCCCACAAGACTTATAAATATACCATCCCTCACATATCCAGAAACTACTACTTGTTATCAGTTCCATAAGTATCTCCTTTTTACCTGAGTTGTTGCCAGGGTCCTTTGAACTATTTTCTCTTATAACTTTAAAAAATCTCCACTGTGAAACAGATCATTTACAAAATATAAACGGTACATACATTTTGAACAATTAAAACCATTAAGATGAATACCTGGATCTACTACCAAGTTTACAAAATGGAATTCTAATGACTTTGAAGCCTCTTTATGCTCATCCTTGATCTCCTGTCCCCTCATCCCTAAACTAAATTTGTTAACAATTCTTTTTATTGAAACCATGCTCCACACTAATTAAGATGCTTAAGGTTGTCTGGCTTTGAATTTTATAAAATTTAAAAATCAAAAAATACTTTACCTCTGCACATTAAAAAAAAAAAAAAAAAACCAACAAATTAAGGTTTAATTTATACACAATCAAATGCACCATTGTATGTGTAGAGACTGATGAGTTTTAACAAGGTCTCCTTTATAGCCATTCTCCTCTCCTGGCCCTAGGCAATACTGATAGCACATGCTGTCCTTAGTTCTGCCTGTACAATTTCACATTAGTGGACTTGCAAGATACTTATTTTTTGTTTGGTTTTCTGATTGGAGTCCTTGTGTGGTGCTGTAGGATAAGTACTGGACTAACCTACCAGTCCAAACCTACCAGTCACTCCTCAGAAACCCTGTTAAGGGTCACTATGAATTGATTATGTTACTTGTTCAATAATGAGTTACTGAGTAGTAACCATCTTTAGGTCCTGGCTTTACAGCGAACAAAACTGGCATAGTACCTGCATTCTTGCTGAAGGAGGCAATAAACAGACAAAAAGAAAAATTGCAGTGAGTGCTATGGAAAAAAACCCAAAAAAACCTCAGGGTACTATGAGAAAATAAGGAGTCCTGGTGTGGTGCTATAGGACAATAACTAGGCTGCCAACCACAAAGTTCTGGTTCAAACCCACCAGTTGTTCCTCAGGAACACTATACAGGGTCCCTGTTGAGTCTGAACTAACTCAATGGCACTACAGAGCAACAATGAGAAAATAAAAGGGGGAGGAACCTATTTAATAAAACAAAACGAAACTCAACAGTTTCTGACTCACGTTGTTGTCGTTAAGTGCCAATGAGTTGTTTCTGAATCATGCTGTTGTTGTTAAGTACCGTGGAGTCGATTCTGACTCATAGTGACCCTGCACAGGGTTTCCGAGGCTGTAAATCTTTACGGGAGCAGAACGCCTCATCTTTCTCCCGCAGAACCACTGGTAGTTTAGAACTGCTGACCTTGAGGTTAGCAGCCTGATTCGTAACCACTATGCTACCAGAGTTCTGACTCATAGCAACCCTGTATAGTGTTTCTGAGGAATGGCTGTTGAGTTCGAACCCCAACACTATGGTTCAAACTGGCCTTGAGGTCCTATAGTGCCACACTAAGGCCATAAATCTATAGTGGAGCAAAAAGATATCTTTCTCCCATGGAGTGGGTGGTGGCTTTGAACTATTGACCTTGCTGTTAGAGTACAGTGCTTATCCAACAGGGCAACCAGGGGTCCTGTAACAGTAAAAGCACTTGCAAAAGTGGGAAAATTGACTGCAGTGATCAGAGGAGCCATATACAAAGAAATTGCAAAGCCAATAGATGCCTATAAGAGAAGAATGAAGAAAAAAAGAGAAGGGTGGTGTTAGGGTATATAATTTGTTGTTGTTATGTGCTGAGGAGTCGGTTCCCACTCACAGCAACCCTGTACAGGATTTCCAAGGCTGTAAATCTTTATGGGAACAGAAAGCCTCATCTACTCCCGCGGAACAGCTGGTAGTTTCGAACTGCTGACCGTGAGATTAGCAGCCCGATTCGTAACCACTATGCTACCAGAGCTCGTTGGTATATAATCTAGAGATGTTACATTAGACATCTGTGGGTGTCCTGGTGTGGCACTGAAGGAGAAGCATTGAACTACAAGGTCAGCAGTTCAAGCTCACCAGCTGCTCCTCAGAAACACTAAACCAGGTTTTTACTTAACATTAGACATCAGCACAGAAATGACAGTCAAAGATGTAAATCTGGAATGTAAGAAAAGGTTTGCAATAGAGATATAAATTTCATTTCATCTGTAGACATTGAAAGGCAAGGAAAAGGGTGCAATTATCTAAGGAGAGAATGTTCATACAAGAGGTTATTTGGCCATTCACTTGCTATATATTCTCGGAAAGTTGCTTTCTTGTTTTGGGTTTGTTTGCAACATAAATGGCAGCATTGCAGGACTTTGGGGGCCCTAAAATTTTGCAAATATACACCTCCTCATTGATCTGGGGCTAATTCCAACCACCTCAACCCTATCATGAAATGAAATGAAATAAACAAAAATAAATACTGGGTAATTTAAAAGTAATTGGAGCTGAAAATCTTAACAGTGAGTTGGGAACTTTAATGCTCAGGGTAACGGGGCATGAAAACAAGGGAACTGAAGCCATCCCTGAAAATGAGGAACTCTCACCGATGCCATCTCTTTCAAGCCTTTATGAACCTACCTTGGGGGCATTGTGTCCTACAGGGACATGAGGTCCCCTTCGAGATTTCATTGCAAAGCGCATGATTTGCCTCTTCACAAAAATAAATAGCAGTACAAAGACCTGTCAAAAAAAAAAAGAGAAAATTAAAGAATTTTTCAAAGACAGTGAAAATAAAAGTTATGCCTTCATTCCAACTCTTCAGATTTGGGATATCAGGGATGCTTTGGGGTAACACTTGGGACACAGCAAGGTCATCAAATACAGGACTAGATTTGCAGAGTCTGTAGAGCAGTATAGAGTTTATAGTGCAGAGCTTAACCGGAAGGTCTTGGCCAGGGGCGGGGCGGTCCTGGTCTGTGATTTAGGCTCATAGGTGCTCTTGGGAGAGGAGTCAAAGCCTAGAAAAAAGGTAGGTGAGTGGGTGGAGAATGAGGGTAGTCTATGGTTCAAGAGGAGGGTTTCTACAGGGTCAGGCATGAGAGCAGGAACGGGGTGGGGTCTCACCAGGCTCCCGTAGGCCATCACAAGCACGACATTCACCCCGGACAGCCAGTTACTGCTGGACGCCATGGCCTCCCCACCCCGTGCAGAACTGCCTTGCCTCGTCAGCCCGGGTTCCGCCGAGGCAGCGGCACTTGGGATTCCCGGAGCTCCCCGGCCATTTCCTTACGGGGGAAGACCAAGCGAGACCCGGCTTGAAAACATGGCGGCTTACAGGGTAGGAGGGGCAGGAGGAGAACGACTCCTTCCCGCTTTCCCCTGGCACGTGACTCAGGTTGCAATGGCACCCGGGAGCAGCGAGGGCGGAGACGCGGAACTACGCCAGTGAGAGGAAGTGGAGGCCATCCTTGTATCACGTGGTGAAGGCGGGGCCGTAGTGATGGAGGCGGAGGCGCGGAAGCGGAGTGAGATGTCTCGTGGCGAGTCGGCGCGCGCACGCTTACGTGCGCGTCCCTTTTCGCGTCACGTGCCAGGAGACGCAGGAAGGCAAGTGGGAGGGGGAAGGCGCGAGAGCGAGCGCGAGAGGGAAAAGCGGGGAGGGGGGTGGGGAGGAGGGAACCTTCTATCACGTGACAGGGGCGGCGCGGCCCGGGGTGTCAGTGTGGAGGAGACTGAGGTAAAGTTGGGAGCGCAGCGGCGTTGGCGGCGGCGGCGGCGGCAGCGGCAGCGCGGCGGGGCCGGGTATTGTCCGCGGCCCCTTTAAATCCGCGATCTCCCTTTTACCCTCCCTCTTTTTTTCTCTTATCCCCGCCGTATCCCCCTCCCTCGGTAGGCCCCCCCCCACACCGTGTGTCCCCCCCACTGTACAGCCCCCTTCATGGTCGTGCGAGCCCTAGCCTTCCCCCGTCTCGAGTCGGCCGCCAGAGGTTTTGTTTATGGTCAGATTCGCGGCCTACTGGGCCGCGCCAGAGCCGGGGCCTCGATTTGGGAGCGTGGCCGGGGCGGGGCTTGGGGAGCTGGAGGGGGGGGCACGCGGCTAGAGCCTGAAGCGGGGAGAGCGAGAAAGAGCGCGGGCGAGCGAGCGAGGCCTGGGTTCTCCCTGAGGTAGGGCCCTCTCCCCTGGTCGGCGCCTTTGGAGAAGACGAAGGGGCCTTCTCCTCCAACCCTCTGCGGGCCTCTTCTGATCCGGATTCGGCTTGGTTTGGGGGCGGCGGGAGGGGGGGAGGGCGGGCGATGGGGTGGAGCTGCCCCAAACTCCCCCATGTGGCCCTCAGTTTGGAGTGCGGAGGATTAATTTGTTCCGGGTGGGAGGTGGGGAGGCGATTGGCCCCGTGGGTTCCCGATGTGGCGCTGAGGGGGGTGAGCCTTCCTCCTCCTCCACGCGTGGGCTTGCGTCCCCCCCTCACCGTTTCTACCCTCTTTGTCAGCTCCTCTTAATGCCCTTCCATCTTTCTCACCGCCCCAGCTTCTGGGATATGTTTTTATAGCTGTCGTTAGTTTCTTGGTGTCCATAGTATAGTTTTGGATACCCCCAACAATTGTGATGTTATTTGGGATGCTGGACATGAAGGCCTTCATAGAGGGTCTCTTCTGCCTAAGGGACGTCACTAGAGCACTGGGGTATTTGCTCACTCTTCTCATAATGGGACAGGAATTCCAAATTTTTTCAGACCCATCACCTTCTGGACAGCCCCTAAATTGTTTCAGAAACTGATGTCACAAACAGGAGACTGCCCCTTTACCACCGTTCTTGAAATGTAGCCTCCTCTGGTGTGGGATGTGTGGAAAGAAAAACAGCCCAGTAACAGGCGGTTGTTGTTGTTACCGTTTTTTTTTTGTTGTTTTTTTTTGCGTTTGAGTCTCCCTAATTTTTAAATGTAGGAATCCCATTTTTGTTTCTTCTCACCCACCTTTCCACTCGCTGTATCCTGCTTTGAGGAAATCTGATGTGACTTGCTGGGAGGTGTTGAGTTGAGGGTCGGTGATGATTAGTATTACTAGAGAACTGAACGTTTTGGCTTGTGTGTCTGTGGATAAAAGTGCTTTGAGATCCTACACCATTGTCCTTAAAGATTAGACTATCCCAGTGATTGTTTCCGTTGTGAACGGGAAATATTGCTGGCATGTAAATTGATGATGAAAGGCCTAAAAATGTACTGTGTTGTTTTTGTTTTTTAAAGCTCCTCTTTGCTAAGTATCCCCAAACTGAGAAGTACTTTTTTCTTACTAGATTCAAGTTGATGGGGAAGGGGCTGCAGGGATCATTTCAACAAAGCACCTAGGAAATAAGTTGCCCTGTTAGAGACAGCAAGTTTTACCAACTCCAGTAGAGTCAGTTTCTGAATTGTTAAACAAATTAGATTGTAAGCTCCCTGAGGGCAGGAACCAAATCATATTGCTTTTGTATTTCTTGAAGTACTGGACACATAGTAGTTACTCAATAAATACTTGCTATTTATTTTTTTCAGTAAAATTTCTCTGGCTATTTTTTTAAGTAGCTGGTTTTTGAGGGCACTTCTGTTGAAACATATTACACTTACAGTATTTTCTTGGTCTCCAATACTTCTCACCATACATCCCTTAAATATTTTTTTGTCTATGAAAGAGTTTAAACAAGATTCCTCGCCTCCACCGAGATAACTCAGTCTGTCAACTCTTGAGTCTGTGTCAGCCAACCAGTTCAGTGCCCCCAAGTAAACCACCTCAGATCACTTGGCTTTTGACCTGTTGTTACTACCTAGGTGGTAAAATTATCTTAGTCACACATTTCAAAGCATTTGTAAGAGAGAAGTGGAAGTTAATAACAAGATTGTCAGGAAGATTTCTTTTTACTTTTCTAGTTAGTTATGTGAATGCTGGTGCAGCACTGTAGGATAAGCTTTGGACTGATAACTAAGGTCGACATTTCAAACCCAGAAACTCTATACAGACTGTGAGTTGGAACTGACTTGATAGCACACACCAACACCAGTTCATTATGGGGCTTTCAAGATGACTTTTTAATATATTTACATCTGACTGGGTACAGCAAGGAAGCCATGGTGGCACATTGCTTAAAGTGCTTGGCCACTAACTGAAAGGTCAGTGGTGTGAACCAACTAGGCCCGCTGAGGGAGAAAGATGTGGCAGCCAGCTTCCGTTAAGATTGACAGCAATGGAAACGCTATGGGGCAGTTCTACCCTGTCCTGTAGGGTCACTATGAGTCTGAAGTGACTTTATGGTAATGGGTTTGGTTGGATGCAGTGTATGCTGTTGTCTACTATCCATCATGCAGTTTATATCTGCATTATAAGGCATCCTCATGAATTGAAATCAAATTTGTAGAAAGCAGTTGATATTTGGATTGGGTGGAAAATGGCTACTTCCATATTAGAAACTTTATTTTAGGATCAATTTTAAAGTATAACAGTTTTCCTCTAGCCTTAACTTGATAATTTTTCTTGTTGCTTTGGATCTAGGAGTGGAGTACTTAACACTTTTTTCTTTTTTTTTTAAGTGTTGAAACTTGCTTATAATGCTATAATGCAGCCTGGGAAAATGGACTACTGTGTAACAAATCATCATGTACTAGCTTGAAATATTTACAGATCTTTGTGTGCCAATGTATATAGGGGAAAGAGGTAATGATTAAAATTTAGTCTTGAGGCTGCCTAAAGTATCTTTCCTGGTGATAGAGAATATAGTGTTCATAATTCTTAATGACCATGTCAAAACCCAAAAACCCTATGCAACTGTTGACTCAACAAATTTATCCACTGGGAAGTTAGCTTTCTTTGTGACATCCAGGGTGAAATTCATTTTACTAACAGTTTATCTTTGAATATTCCTTCAAAAACAGCAGTATCTGTTAGGCGGTCTAGAATTTTCCTGTATAAACTTTCATTTATGAAAAAAATTAAATATAGAGTAGAAAAGTATAAACTTGTCCTCTTTGGAAGGGAATAAAATAATGCAAAGTAACTACTTACTTGGAATGCTTCATATGATTATTTTCTTTGTTTACTAAAAACAGCAGCTGAGATTGCATTTGAAAACAAAGTATGAATGAAGGGAACTTTAATTCAGTAGAATTCCTTTATCATTAGAAGTGTTATAACAAAATCTATGTTCTGTTTTGGGGGAAGGCCTTTGTGTGTTCTGTGTCTTTTTAAAGCTTTACTAAGTCATCTTGCCAGTAGTAATGTCTCAAGCTTAAAGACCCTTTCTTCCAAATAAAACTTGTGATACATGCTTTTGATTGTACGTATATTTGGAATTCTTTGTATATTAAGGTGCGTGATGGAGAGTAATGATAATTCAGGCTTCATGAAACAGTGGCCTGGAAGACAAACAAAGGCAATTTAAAAAGCGGTGTTGTTGGAATTACTGTACAGGGAACTGAGATTCTGGACAAAGTCATTGGTGCTTTGTTGAAGGCTACAGTTTTACAAAAAAACAAAACCTGTAAAATGGTGGGGTATAGAAACTTGAGGAAGAAAGAGACTAGACTTAAGATTGTCCTTTCCCAAGTAGGTTGCATCCAACTTAGTAAAAGGCTTGTAGACAGGTAAGGCTGTTTTCTTAGGTAGATTGAGTACAGTGTTTTTGTTATTTCTTTAGAAAGCTTTGTTTTTAGGCTTTTCTATCTTTTTGTCAAAGGGGCTTTCATCTGTATAAAAGGCTTTGATTTAATATTGTTTTGCTTAGTAATTAGATAGCAAATTTCACAAAGCTTACTTACAGAAAAATAGCAGACTTTTTTGCTTCATAACTTTAAAAAAAGTAAAACAAAAGAATTACTTGCTAAACTGCAGTGAGCACTCATTTACACATGTCAGTATGGATTGGCCAAGTGGCAGCATCGATGGACTCAAGCGCGGCAACAGTAGTGAGGTTGGCCCAGGATCGGCAGTGTTTCGTTCTGCTGTGCCTAAGATTGCTATAGGTCGGTACCGACTTGATGACACTTAACAACAACAAATATGTTCTGCGGGAGAAAGATGAGGCGTTCTGCTCCCATAAAGATTTACAGCCTCGGAAACCCTGTACAGGGTCGCTATGGGTCGGAAACGACTCGATAGCACATAACAACAATAACCTTTCAAAGATCAGTGAGCTTTATATCTGGTTCTTTAAGAATATTATTGACATAGATCATTCAATGCCTTCAAGATGTAATACCTCAGGTCCTAAATGCTGCCTATATTTTGTTCACCAAGGTGCTATCTCATAAACTCATTTTGAATATTTCCCATGGGTGGAGACTGAAGTTGCGTTACTGGCAAGATAAATATCTTGTCGAATTCCTCTGACCATTTGGCTGTGAAATGCCCTACTTCTATTTTAAGTTACCATACTTAGAAAACATTAGAGCTGCTATCAATTCATCTCCTGATGACTGTAGAGGCAGTGGCAGCAAGTAGTCTGTTATTGGACATTGGCTTTGGGCGTTTGGGATTTGTCATTGGCTTGGACATTTGGAGGAGTCTTGGTAATGCAGTGGGTTAAGTGTTGGATTGCTAACTGCAAGGTGAGCAAACCTACCAGCTGCTCTGCAGAAGAAAGATGAGACTGTCTGCTCCCATAAAGATTTACAATCTTAGAAACCCTCGGGAGCAGTTCTATTCTACTCTGTCCTATTAAGTCGGTATGGGTTGGATTTGACTATGGCGTTGGATTTGGATTCTGGTTGGTGAACATTTGACAGAAAAGATCATGGAAGTTAAGGGGTTTGATTTAGTTGGGGGTTTCCAGTCCTAGGTAGCAAGACTATTTTTCAGCAAGGATGTGATTGAGAAAACTGGAAAAGATAAAGTAATAAGGGAAGAAGGGAGTAGTTCTGAGAGCCAGGAATCAGAAATCTATGATACAGGGAGGAATGAAAAACAGGTGGCTGTTATCATCTTACTAGTGTGAAAGTGTTTTGATATAGCTTCATGTGTCTCATCATTGTTAATTTCATGATATGAACATACCTTCACGCATGATCTATTTTTGTTTTTTCATGATAGTTAAACTTCAAATTCCCTTTTTAATTTAAAAAGAAATTCAAACCTACCCTTAAAATATCCACAGGTACAATGGGAATTGTGTATTGGGGGCAAACGTTCTCATTCACAAGCAAAATTTCACTGGTTGTTTTTTCTTTTCTTTTCTTTTTTGTTTCAGGACTTGATTTCATTGGGGTTGAGGGGTCAAATTATCCCCGAAAATTTGAGACTGCTCCTGGTATGATACATCCAGGCGCCTAACTGCCCCGGATATTTTTATGAACTGAAATATCTGTGGATATGTCATTTTTCTGTCTTTCTGCTTTTTCTTTCTGTCTTCTTGTTCTCTATGCCCATTTTTCTTTTTGTTCATTTAATGACTATCTGACATTCACATTTGACTGCTTTCGGCTGATGGCATAGAAATTCTAATCTGTTGTTCAAAGCATTTCCACTCTTACTGCTCCCTAGTGCTTTCTCAACATTGCCCTGTTTTTGCCTGTTCTTAAGACGTGGTCATACATCCTATGATCTTCCTCGCCATTCTAATTGCAGTAACCAGATGCAGAAAAAAAATTATTGCTTTGAGAAATAGCGTAGAATAGATGACTTCTCAAGTCACTTCTAACTCTAGGATTATGTAAGATTCTTAACCCCGATTTTGAGTGTCATTTGGCCAGAATGGGTAGATGTCAGTGAGAGGAAGAGTGGTATCATTAAAGAGAAAAGACTGTGGTTTGTAACTTAGACTAATATAGGGCTTTAGTTTGATTTGGAGAGCTTTGTCATTATGTAGTTTGGAATTACTCTGGTACCGTTTTTGTTTTGTATTTTTTCTGGTGCAGTTTTAATATCCTAGAAAATGTATTACAATGAATATTTTTTCTTCAGGGAAGTAAGCTTTTTATTATTGAATGTTTAGATGAATTTCAGGTGGGTTTTGTAGGTATTTCTCTTTAGTGATAGTAAAATAATTCTGAATGCTAGACTCTCTGTTATTCAAGAGTCATTCAGTATATATTGTTTCTATAGGAAGAAAAGGTATTGTCCCTTCTACAGATTCTTCTTTCTTACTGTGGGCCCTTTGGTTGAAGAGAAGAATTATGGGTCCCAAATTCTTTAAGAAAGGGCAGTTTCTCCAAATATATTTGTAGACATACATAGCAAAAAAGGAGGAATGTGTGGAAGGTGATTTGATTGTTCTTGAATTTCTTACCAGACACTAATCCCAACTTTGTAATTACCAACAATGGAACTCCTCCATTGTCTCTGCCATGACCATGGCAGGACAGATTTCAGAATCTATATGATTAGGATTAAGACAATAACTATTACTCATTATTTTTTTATTTAGTTTGAGTTAGCAGATAATTCTCAGTGTCCTCAGTTTGGGTTTCAAGCCTCACCATCATGTACCATCCACTGGTATTCTATCACTGTGTCATCTCTCTTCAGACCATGCTGCCTGTGGTTCTGTCTTATACAAGATAGGTATAGTTTGCATGTTCTGATTTACTGCCATTTCATTGAATTGGCTACTAATTTTGAAGACTGAGGACCTTAAAGAAATTGCTTGGAGTTTTGATTCTTTAAAAAACTTGTTTCCCCCTATTTTCAGCTATGTAACCAAAACTAAAGGTAGCTATAATATTCTTAAAACACTGTCTCTTGCTAAGGGATCTCTTCCTATCTTTGAAGCCCAGGAATTCCTTCTGATTACTAAACTCTGATCACACTTTTGGCTGCCAAAAAATGTTGACATTATTGTGTTCTGCACATGTTGTTTAATGGCATGTATAAAATTACTTCACTATTTTTCCTTTATCCTCAGGTGCATGGAGGACTGCAACAGAAGAGTGGGGAACTGAAGATTGGAATGAAGATGTAGGTATTCCCAGGTCATTCCTCACTGTGCCTTCTATTCCTAAGTAGTGTTTAGGGATAGAAAATGGGTATATGTCTACCTCTCAAAATTCACCCTTAAAATTCTGACCCAAAACTTTTACATCCAAAATAGTGTTCTGAGCCAGAACATTTCACATATGTTATATGAAGGAGACTGGGCATGAACAGGACTCTGTGGACCCACACTTTGGAAAGGGCAAGTGCACTTGTGTAAGTCCAATACCTGATTGTCGGATTTATCCCAGGAAGAGATTGGTGGTTGGGTAGGGCACCAGAAATGGAGTTAGGCATGTAGTATATTAAATAACAACTTCTGGTGGCACATACATAGACTGACTACTTAGAGCCATTCCAATTATTTGGTTGGCATAATTTAAGCATTGATGTTGTGTGTTGTATAATTGACTAGGAGTGGATACAAAGTGAGAGTTACAGTATAATGTTCTCAAGCTTGCAGTCTGCTTGGCTCTGGAACCCCTTTATTTGCTTGAAGCCCAACTTTATAATTGAGGTGACTATGTATAGATTGGCTATCCACCAGCTCAATTCAGCTTTGAAATTGCATGTAGATTACAGCACATACAGAACTCTCTAAATTCACTTGAGTAGTAACATGATTTCTGATCACAGTTAAGTTTTTGCTATGAACTGTGATGTTTAGTGATCTTGGATGAACTCTTACTTTTAACATTTTAAAATCTACTTCCATATACTCATATATATTCAAGAGTCTTGGTGTGGCACTGTGGGATAAAGCACTAGACCGCAAGGTTGGTTTTAACCATGAGGTTGCTGTGAGTTGGAATGGACTCGACGGCACTTAACAGTGACAACAGTATGTAGTCAGCCAAGACAGCTTTACAGTAAGAAGAAATCATACTTTAAATTGCTTTGATTATCAGACTGGGACTTAGAAAATTTCAGTTGCATCAGCATCAGAGAGTGATTCTTTTCTGTTGTAACTGAGCTAGACTACCTTATGAGTTTTTCCTGTTTCTTGAGATTTGGCTTATCCAGTTAATCAACTCTCAGAGAACGGTATATTTAGGTGGATGGATTTAATATTTGTAGAAAAAAATATTTTGGTAAGCAAAAAGCAAAACAAAGCCCAAATCAAGTTTTGAATAGTAGGAAGAATTAGTTGCTTCCTACAATTGCTTTGCCAAATTTTTGGTGTCTTGGTGGAGAGACTAGATGTAAAAAATCAGTATTAAGACAAAAAAATTGCATATAATTAAAATAATCTCTGTAATGAGAGTAATTTACCATCACATGGGCCCTTACTGCTCAAGAGGCAGGAATTAATTTTAATTTCTCTCTCAATTTTGACTGTGACATGTTTTCCCTTTGTTGGGTGGTGGTATTAAGTGCCATATAGAGTTTGTTGAGGGTAGTAGAAGATAAGAAATGTTTGGACAGAGGTGGGGGTCGTGAAGTGTTGTTGTTTTTTTTTTTTTTTTTCCTGTTTAGCTTGTATATTGAGCTACCTGTGAGTTCATTGTGCATATAAGGATGTAATGTGACTCCGTTCTATTTCACTAGATTCCTTGGTTCTGTACCTTCTCCCTGGATAAAATCACTAAGCATGTGTAAAAGAGACTTAAAAAGGCAATCCATTCAGTATTCTTCAGGGTAGATAGTCTCTCTTAGGAATTTCTCTTTTTCTTGATACTGAATTTCCCTTACCCATGCCAGGCTTCTTACTAGCCTTCCTGACAACTGGGAGTGACTTAATTTTTCTGTTTTCTAGCTTTCTGAGACCAAGATATTTACTGCCTCTAATGTGTCTTCGGTGCCTCTGCCTGCGGAGAATGTGACAATCACCGCTGGTCAGAGGTAAATGTGCAGTAAAATTCAGTATTTTATCCCACAGGGATTAGCTGAGAGCTATAAGGAAGACTGGCTTTGAATGGCCTTTACAGACTCCCAGGGTGTTGGTAATAATGTTAAAATGCATTAGGTTTCTCTCTAATTGATTAATAGATTTGTAAGAGTTCCTATTATTCAGTGGAGTCCTGGTGTGGCACTGTGGATTAATGTGCCGGACTGCAAAGCTGAATTGCAAGGTCGGCTGTTCAAACTCACCAGTCACTCCTCAGAAACCCTATACAGGGTCGCTATGGGTCGGAATCAACTCAGCGGTACAACAACAATTATTCAGTACATAATGGCTACTCTGTGTTGAAAATTTGAAGCTGCTTTTTCTCAAAGTAGGCCTTTAATTTTGTATGTAAGCCTGTCAGCATTACTGACATTGATTAAAACTCATTACAGTGTAAATGGAAATCTTTTCATTTCTTTCTGAATTTCGCAGAACTGTTCTATAGCCTTTTCTGTTTTCTTTGTCCACTGAGCATAGTGAATCCCCTCACCCACCTTGGATCATTATGATCTAGCTAATAAACTTTTTAGAATTTTAATTTTGGTATTGTGGTCAGTGGTAGGAGATACTCCTCCTTCCCCCCAGTGCACTATGGGTAAATATAAGGACCCTTGAGACACCTGCCTGGGTTCAGATCCTGCTCTACTACTTATTAGCAGTGTAACCTTAGGCAAGTCATTTTGCCTTTTTGTGCTTAAAGAAATAGGAATAGTCTGTTCTGAGAATTAGGTGAATTATTACTTATAAAACTCACATGAATTATTACTTGTAAAACTCACATGATAAATGCTAAAAAGTGTTAGCTATTGTTAGCTCTTAAAATTTTTTGAGGGGTCACAGAGCAAATCAGTTTAGCAGTTAACAATTCATACACATTTTGTTTCGTATCATTGATTGCAGTCACCACAATGTAACATTACTCGTTCTACTTTCCTATGTTTTCTGTTTCCATTCTTCTTCCTTTCCTAACCCCTTTTGCCTTCTGAACTTGGTCTTTGAGTAAATGCTGCCCTTTTGATTTCTGAGTGGTTGATTGTTCTCAGGAGAGTGGACCTTTCTAGTGTTATTATTTACCTTATAGGCTTGTCTTTTTAGCTGAATAGTGAGCCAGGATGGTTAGTTCTGTTCCAGATCCGAAGAGTGACTAAGGGCCATAGTCTAGGGTTAGGGGTGGCAAGGTGTCTACCAGTGAAAAATCTACTCATTAGAGACTAGATACCTCCTTGTACCACTTCTAGACCTGGGCATATAATAGCTCTTGGATCAGAAGGTCCTAAAGACAATTATAATAGGATAGGATACAGCTGTTAGGGTATCATTTTATTACCAGAGGTAACTAGAATTAAAAAAAGCTAAACACGAAACCCTTTCTGTTCTAAAGCCTCTTGAAGTTGCTAGTGTTCTGGTATACAGTTTATCTTAGTTATTGGTAATAACTGGTATTTGTTATTAAAATCCTAAGTGAAGATTGTAGAATTTGGTTCAGTATTTGAACTAACACTTGATACTTCATTGAATTTAATATTTTCAGAAAAATAAAAATTTTTAAATATTTTATTATGGTTAGCAACATCTGTGTAAATCAACTAGATGGTCTAGTAGCTCTTACATATCATGTACTTTGGTAAATTACGGATTTCAGACTTTGTTTTTTCATTCTGTTTAGAAAAAGCACCGTCAAGTGGCTTCATTTTGATTTAACCATAGTCTGAATCTGGTATTGAGGAAGACCAAAATGTTTAATCATTATTCATTGAGATCTCTTCCCCTTTCTACTAGAATTGACCTTGCTGTTCTATTGGGAAAGACACCATCTTCAATAGAGAATGATTCATCTAATTTGGATCCATCTCAGGCTCCTTCTCTTGCACAGCCTCTGGTGTTCAGTAACTCGAAGCAGAGTGCCATATCACAGCCTGCTTCAGGGAACACATTTCCTCATCACAGTATGGTAAGTAGAATTTTAGTTTAGCCTAATCAAACCTTCGCTCACCAATATACATACACAGATGCTCATTCTCACATTCCTTCCAAGACCAGTCAGGGGTGAAATATTCTTTTCTCCTAGCAGCCTTGGGAATAGAGATGTTAACTTGGGTCATAGGGGATCACTCTAGGGGAAGGACTTGGCTTTGAGCAGAAAAAAATCTTAAATAAAAAATGGTTTATCAGAATATTTTGAATGCCTATGATGCTGAATACTGGTACTATTCAATGGCACACCAACTTGTCCAACAAATTTTAATTCTTTGCTATTTTAATTAAATTTTAATGGCAGGTTGGAGCAATTGCCATATATATACTTCACTACCCAGGTATTTCTAGACTGGGCTTCTAAACACTTGGGATCTTTTGGAGTCTGCCACATGTTAGCTGTGTTTCTCTGTACGTGGTTTTAGAAAAGTAGACCTTTAGAAGATAATACATAAGTGTTGTTGTTGTTGTTATGTGCCTTGGAGTCGATTCCGACTCATAGCAACCCTGTACAGGGTTTCTGAGGCTGTAAATCTTTACGAGAGCAGAAAGCCTCATCTTTCTCCTGCGGAATGGCTGGTAGTTTCGAACTGCTGACCTTGCGGTTTGCAGCCCGATTCGTAACCACTATGCTACCAGAGCCTTTGATGCGATGGTAGTGGTATTTATTAAGAACATAGAGCACTTTGCTATGAGTCAAAACCAACTCCATGGCACGTAACAACAACAGATAGCACTTAGGGCATGTGACTTATTGATTCAAAACATTAAAAAAACCAAAAAACACTAAACTGAAGTTCTTAAATGGAGCAATGGAATCATTTAAGCTAAACAGATGCAAGGATCAATTTACTGTCTTGTTGGTAAAACCCAAGATGTACGACTACTACTTTTTTCTCTTTTGCCCCTTGTTGCAGTTCTTTTCCTGTCATTTTTTTTTCATAGAAGTCTAGTTGTAAGAAGAGGCCATGCATATGCGTGTAGTTTTATTTTAGGGTTACAATATTTTAACTAGAAAAACTAAGCTAGCTTATTATCCAGAACTCTTAGTCCTTAACTATTAACTTAATGATAATTTTTGATGGTTGATATTTTGCCATGTCAGGTCATGGTGAGTAAAGGTGGCAAGAGGGAATGGAAGAAGAGTGTTAGTACTGAAAAGGAAGAAACAAAATAGGACAGATTGTAAGAATGTGCTGAAGATCAGGAAATAACTACTAACTTCTAACTAAAATACATGACTGGAAAATGTTCTTTTTTTTTTTTTTTTATTGTTCTCTTATAAATTGCTTTCTTACTATTTGGAGTTGATATCAAAAATAAATTCTCAACAAAATATATTCTGCTTTACCTTAACATTCTTTTTAACAAATTAATATTTTTATAGTTCAGGAGCCTAGAAGTCCAACTTCAGGTCACTGACTATAGGGGGATGTTCTTGTCTCCTTTCAAGATCTGTGATACCAGGGTTCCTTGCAGAACTTCATGTGTCTTGGCATCAATCTTCCCCTGGCTCCTAGGGAGTTTTCAGTGCAGGGACCCTGGGTCCAAAGGACGTGCTCCACTCAGCTCTTCTAATTTTTAAAGTTTTATTGTGAATTGAGTGAAGGTTTACAGAATAGATCATCAGTCCCACTTTAAACAAATATGCTTCGTGTCATTACAATGATTGCAATCCTTTCCATGTAACATTACTTAACAGTACTTACCTCTTCTGTTCAGTTTAACTCTTGCATTCTTCCATTACTTTCATCTTTCCTGTGCCAACCTCCCTTTTTTGTACTTGTTAAAGAACCCTGGAGGCGCTGTGTGCTAAACTTTGGGCTGTTAACCTCAAAGTCAGGGGCTCAAGCCTGCCAGCCATTCCTTGGGGAAAAGATGAGGCTGGCTGCTTCCGTAAAGGTGTATAACCTCGAGAAACCCTATATGGGGTCACTCTGAGTCGGAATGGACTTGATGGTAGAGTTTATGGTTCTTGGGTTTTTATGCTATGTTAACTTAGCTTTCTTCCACATTATATGTATTGATTTATCAGTGTTTCTTTACCAGTGAGAATAAACAGTAAAGGATTAATTTCCCACATTGGTGGTACAGTGGTGGAATTCTTGCCTTCATGTGGATTAATTCTTGGCCAGTGTACCTCATGTTCAGTCAGCCCTTGTCTCAGTGGAGCACTGCAAATTGTGATGATGCTCAACAGGTTTCAGTGGAGCGTCCAAACTAAGATGGATTAGGAAGAAAGTCCTGGTGATGTTCTGCTTCTGAAAATCAACCATCGAAAACCCTGTGGATCATAACAGTTTGAACTGCAATCGGTCATGAGGATGATGTTGCATTTTGTTCCATGCATGAGGTCACCATAAGACATAGGCCAGTTTGAAAGCTAAAATATCATAATTTAATAGAGCTAAATAATAGTGGAGTATCCTTATTTATAGTTATGCTGAATAGGTGGATATTAAATAGTATGTTTTTAAGAGAAAATGTTTTGCACTTACAGAGTTGTATGTGGTTAGCTATGTGAGATCATCTCTCTACCACAATTCCTCATTTTCATCCTGGGTTTTCTTTCGTTTTATTTGTTTAATCCTGGGATAGAAATTGAAGTAGGAAAAATACCTTTGAGTTGGGCAGACTGGCTTTATATGAGAACGCATTGTTTGATGATGATAAGGTTAAACAGGTCTTTTAGACTAGTCCAAGACACATGACTTATCTTCTAGACTAGGATGATAGCTTTACTTGGTATTAGAGAATGGGGACAACCCTCTGCATTAGTTACTAGAATTTGGAGGCTAGAAGTCCAAATTTAGGGTGCCCAGCTCTAAGGTAGGCTTTCTCTGTCAATTCTGGGGGGAAAAAATCTTTCTTTTTTAACATTTGTGGGTCCAGCATTTCTTGAAGATCCATATGTGTCTTGGTATCAATCTTGTCCTGTATCTAGGAGTCCTGGTGTGGAACTGTGGGATAATGTGGTGGATTGCAAGATTGGTTTGAACTGCAAGGTTGGTGCTTCAAATTCACCAGCTGTGTCTCTTAAACCCCTATATACAGGGTCACTCAGAGTTGGAACCAACTTAATCGCACTTAATGACAACAACAGGAGGTTCTCAGCCCAGGGAGCCTAGGTAAAGGATGTATTCCACTTCCGGCTGCTACTTGGTGGTGGTACTGAGGTCCCCTAAATGATGATATGAGCTACACACCAGTGAAATACCCCTTGCATCAGTCAGGACTGTAACCTTAGTGCTGTAAAGTTGCATCCTACCTTAATTCTCTCACAGCTGATTGATTATATCAGGTCACTTCATGAGGGATGATTACATCATTAAATTGTTACGTGTCACTGAGCTGGTTTCAACTCATGACCTCCCTGTGTAGGGTTTCGAAAGAGCTGCCTGGTGAGTTTGAACCTCCGACCTTGTGGTTCAAACCAAACTTGTGGTCCAGTGCATCCTCCCATAGTGCTATACCCAGACTCCTCATCATTATATAGCTGCCACATTAGCATAACAAACAACATAATCCTTGTTAACAAAACCCAACCCAGTTTCATTAACACACAGAAGTCAAGATTTACAACACAAGGAAATAGAAGATAATTACATCATATCACAAAACGTAAGATAACCACACAATACTGAATCATGGCCTAGCTGATTGACATATATTCCATACATGGTGGTGATGTGCTATCAAGTTGGTTCAGACTCAGAGAGACCTTGTACAGTGTTTCCCAGGCTGTAAATCTTTACTGGAATAGAAAGTCTCATTTTTCTCTGGATTTGAACTGCTGACTTTGGTTTGTAGCCCAGCATGTAATCCACTGTGCCACCAGGGTTCCTTAATTAAATCCATGATGCCCGCCTTTCCCTCCAAAAGCACTTAAGAGTAAATTTAATCGGCTTATTATGTAGTGGTGATTACCTTTGAGAACTTGGAAACACAGAAAAAAGTTAAATAATATTGACTTGTTGTTTGTTTAATGCAGAAATTTGAGTGATCCTTTAACTTTTGTATAATTAAATATAAACCACTATTTAGGAGTCCTGGTGTGGTGCTGTAGAATAAGCACTAGACTCCACAGCACTTAACAACAACAGCAACAAACATTGGTTGGTTTAAATTTTTAAAAGGAAAAACAAACCTCAAGTTATCAGTTTTATTGCTTAGAAGGAAGGAAGGGCACATTATTTCATAGGTTTTGAGGGCTCTCAGTGGTTTTGTTTTTTGAGTGTTTAGTATATGCCAGGCTTGTATAAGTGTTTCATATACATTGCTTAATTCTTCTACAACGCCATGTGCACTGCTTTTATTTTTATTTTCAATTGAGGAAGCTTGAAACACAAATTTTTCCTGTTACTTGGTGTTGTGGCTTATACAGGCAGGATTTGCATCTAGACTGTTTGAATATAGAGCTTATATTTTAATAAACTCTGCTATATATATTTTTTGTCTAATCTGGATAAGTGTCTTTTCTGAGTAGCTGAACAAAATTGCTGACTGTAAATTTCTCTTAATTTTACAGGTGAGCATGTTAGGGAAAGGATTTGGTGATGTTGGTGAAGCTAAAGGTGGCAGCACCACGGGTTCCCAGTTCTTGGAGCAGTTCAAGACAGCTCAGGCCCTGGCTCAGTTGGCAGCTCAGCATTCTCAATCTGGAAGCACCACCACATCCTCTTGGGACATGGGCTCGACCACACAATCCTCGTCGTTGGTGCAGTATGGTAAGAAAGGATGGAATGCCACTCGAATTCTGTAAACATTGGCATATTACTATCAAGAAGTTGGCAGGAGTAGAGGGTGAAGAATGTGTCCTAAAGTGAGGAAAGGGACAGCCAACTGGCTAGTTTCCTGCATTGATATCCTCCTAATTCGGTTATGTCCAGGAAGTTGTAGGATGATAAACATTTGAGTCTGTTTGTGTATCTCATCAGATTTAGTTGTATACATAGTTGCAATCTTCTGTTGGAAGTTTTAGATTCTTTTTAGGTTTAGCTTTAGGATTAAAATTAACACTGCCTTTGCAAGAGTTCATGAGCTTGGCAATTGTGGTGGTTGCTGTTGCCTTAGTTACAACTCATAGTGACCCTGTGTAGGGTTTCCAAGGCTGTAAAGTTTTACAATAGCAGAAAACCTCATCTTTCTCCCAAGGAGTAGCTGGCGAATTTGAACTGCTGACCTTGTCATTAGCAGTCTAGTGTATAACTGTATCTACCACTATGAGACTGTACATTTTCAACATGGGCCATTCCTATTTTGCTATCTTTGATTTGATTAAGAAAAAATATAATCTAGTGAAAGTACGTCCTACAAGAGGGTGTCATTTATATATTAAGTCCTCTTCATGAAGGTCTACCTAGTTCATGGTTCTAGAGCAGCACAATAGTATTAAATATTAAGATTCATTGGTACTTCTAGCCTCACACGTACTGCGTTTTCTCTTGCAGATTTGAAGAACCCAAATGATTCAACAGTGCACAGTCCATTTACAAAGCGCCAGGCCTTTACTCCCTCTTCAACTATGATGGAGGTGTTCCTACAGGAGAAGCCACCTGCAGTGGCTACCTCCACAGCTGCACCTCCAACCCCCTCTTCTCCTCTACCAAGCAAATCCACCTCAGCTCCACAGATGTCTCCTGGATCTTCAGACAACCAGTCCTCCAGCCCACAGCCGGCTCAGCAAAAACTAAAACAGCAAAAGAAAAAAGCCTCCTTGACTTCTAAGGTACTTGAACTTTTATATGCCTTTTTTTTTTTTTAATTGTGAATTGAGTGAATTGCATCAGGGCATACCATGAGTTTTATATTCAGTAAATCATACTTTGCTTTATTACAGTGATTGCAATTCTCTCCATGTACTAACAGTTAACAGTTGTTGTTAAGTGCCATCGAGTTGATTCTGACCCATGGCGACCCTGTATAGGGTTTCCAAGGAGCAGCTGGTGAGCTTGAACCACTGACCTTGCAGTTCAAACAACTTTGCAGTCTGATGCATTAGCCCACAGCACCACAAACAGTTAACAGTATTTACTTCTGTTTTAGATAATATCTTAAGGCACGGAAATGTGGTATTTGGAAATTGAAATTTGTGAAGTTATTTATTGGTGTAAATAAACTGCAACTGCCTCTATTTCTTCTCCTTTCTATTACCTATAGATTCCTGCTCTGGCTGTGGAAATGCCTGGCTCAGCAGATATCTCAGGGCTAAACCTGCAGTTTGGGGCATTGCAGTTTGGGTCAGAGCCTGTCCTTTCTGATTATGAGTCTACCCCCACCACGAGCGCCTCTTCGAGCCAGGCTCCAAGTAGCCTGTATACCAGCACAGCCAGGTAGATGAAGCATAATAAGACCTTTTTGTTAAGCTTTTATCACTACTACTAATTGTTCTGCTGATTCCTTGAATTTTGGAGAGGCCTGGTTGAAGGGAAAAGGAGCCACTAGTAGTTTGTAGAGTATATTTGGATTATTTGTAACTAAATAGATAGAAATTTACCCTTTGTCTACTTGTAGAATGTCCAAGTAAAATTTAAAGATGTGTACTGTACCTCTGACACAGGACTTTGGCATTTTATGCTATTGGCACTTCGTTCCCCTCAGACACATACCTGCAAAGGATAGAACTTTCAATTCTTAGCATTGATAATGTTACATAGATAGAAAGGAACTTTACTAATGACCCTTTTCTCTGGTAACTATCATGGAGGGCCACATCAAGCAACAGAAAATCTTGGAGGAATTTCAAGGGAATTCTTTACAATTCTGGGCCCCATCTGAGAGCTACTGAAATATAATTGCTGCTAAAGCATGTGGGATTTTATAAAGCTCTTCTTAGGAGAGTTATACCTATAACCTTAAACCTAATAGTGTTCTCAAGAGAGCCTGGAACTCAGAATTCCTTAAAATGAATATTAACAGAAGTTGACTCTTATGCTTAGGATTTATTTTATGATATATAGAAGGGAGCTGACCTTTATGCTCTTTCTGTTATAATAACAATATAAAGGAATAGGAGGTTTGTTTGTTTTTTTCATAGTTGAAGGTGTTTTTAAACTGCATTCTTAGTTTAGACCCTTGTGCTGTAAGATGTGGGAATTCCTATTATTGTTGAGAAAATGATGGCAGCTTCTTTTACTTGCTCTTGTAATCATCTCATTCCACTAGTAGAGCTCCACTGTTTCCTTAGTATCCATGGATCTGTTCTATTTTATTTCTCCTCTGAGATTTTCATTTTTTTGAATCCCAACAGTGAATCTTCATCCACAGTTTCATCAAACCAGAGTCAAGAGTCTGGTTATCAAAGCGGCCCAATTCAGTCGACAACCTATACCTCCCAAAGTAGTACTCAGGGCCCGCTATATGAACAGAGATCCACACAGACTCGGCGGTACCCCAGCTCCATCTCTTCATCACCCCAAAAGGACCTGACGCAGGCAAAGGTAGTGGTATCATGAGACCCTGGGCATTGGTTAGGAGAGCAGTAGGTGAAGTCCCTGAAATGTTAGTGTTTTAGTTCTTGACACATGCTAAGAAATCTCAGAGTGCTGCCTTGAGAATCTAGGGCTACAAGGAGGGGGAACACATTTGTATGATTGATGAAATAAAAGTTCTTTTCTGTAAGCCAGGTAGCTCAGAGCCAGAAAACCATTTTCTTTGCACTAAAATTCTTTGTTTCTAGTGCCTCTCTTCTCAGATTATTTAGTTGATATTGTTTAGTTGCATATCAGTAGACCTCACCTTGCTGTGTCTTGGTTTGGTGGGGGGGACAGCATATGCCAGAGGATATATGGAGTAACTGCCAGATACAGCCAGCAGAATAGGTGGTTTGGCTGAACTGTCTTACTCCCACAAGGATCATTAGATTTGGACTTTGTGCCACTCTTGAGTCTGTTTTGGGTTAAGGTTGCTTCTATTGCCTTGGGTCACACAGGGTTGTGCTGTCTTATTTAATTATTTTGTTCCATTGTGTAGTTTGTATACTGTGTTGATCCTTTGGTAAACTTACGCAGAGTTTCTCTGAAAGGTTTATTGACTGAAATTAAACTCATTTATTGTTAACCTGCTCTATTTACTTAAGTTTCTCTGTTTCTTATACCAGAATGGCTTCAGTTCTGTGCAGGCCACGCAGTTACAGACCACGCAGTCCGTTGAAGGTGAGTGTTCTCCAGGCTTTCTTCTAGTTGGAGACTTCGGGGTGCTTATTAGTAGACCTCGCTGTATTTCGGTTTGGTTTTGCATTTCCTAGATTGTAGTGAAAAGAGTTCTGGCTCAAGGATGAGAACATCTGGTATAGTCTTAGCTTGGTTCTACCTTGCTGCGTAATTTCAGTCCATCCATGTTCTCTTTAACCATTGGTAATTCCATTGGCTTTTTTCATTGTACCAGTGAGAGCAGTGCTATGAAATGCTTGGAATTTTTTGTTAATAAAAAGAGACATTCTGCGTAAACACAAATGATTCTTTAGTAAATAACTTACACGCTTGTCTTCATTACAACTTTGCAGTGTAGCCCTGTGTTCACTTCTCTTGTAGTTAACCCCATTTCCTCTGATGAAGTGAATTTCTTCTTTTATTCCCAGGTGCTACGGGCTCTGCAGTAAAATCTGACTCACCTTCCACTTCTAGCATCCCTCCTCTCAATGAAACTGTATCTCCAGCTTCCTTACTGACAACAACCAATCAGCACTCATCCTCCTTAGGTGGATTGAGCCACAGCGAGGAGATTCCAAATACTACCACCACACAACATAGCAGGTGATTTGGGGTGAGGGTGGAGATTGGGGTTGGTGAATAGCTATAACAGAGCTCTCTGGTTCTGTTTATTTCCTCCTGGCATATACATTTGCCCTGCTTTTGGGATAAGTGGGTAATCTAAAAACTGGGACGTGAATGAAGGCTGAGGAGGCTTAGTTTTTTCCCTTCTCAGTATCCTCTCGTGGTCTAACTAATTACTATCCCTGGATGATAATTGTATTTATCAAAAGATAACAAGCCTTCTTGGTCTCATATTCTGCCCTTTTTTTTGGCCTGTGTTTTTGCTAATGTTCTTGGTCAGATAGATAGGCTATGACTAATGGCAACCTCTTTTTCCTTATAGCACGTTATCTACTCAACAGAACACCCTTTCGTCATCAACATCTTCTGGACGCACTTCAACATCCACTCTTTTGGTAAGTGTAATGCTGTCAAAGAGGAAGTGTGGTTTTCTTATATTTAGTAACTATAACCATGTGATTCTCCCAAGAGGGGATTCTTGAAGATTTGTTCATGAGGCAGCAAAATGATAATTGATCTGAGGTTGCATGAAAGGAGGAAAGTGTATAGGCAAGCTAAAAAAGGCAGAAGAGTCCAAAAAATATTAGAGCTGTGAACCATTCCTAATTTGGAAGTGACTTTTCATCTGACCACCCCTCAGCACCTCCTTTTTTCCCCGCTAAAGGTGGGCACATCTTTGTATGTTTTGATAAATTCTGTAAGAACATACATTTCTAACTTGCGCGCATTAGTTAAAAACAGTATAAAGTCTGGACACCTGTTGGAAATAGACCAGTGAGAGCTTTTGGTTAAGTAATTAATTTTGCTGTTGTGATTTATAACAACCATCTGTGGCAGTAAATTGAAATTTTAAAGGGTGGCAAATAATTTAGAAGGATCCATTTTAGGCACAGACATCAGATTTGCCAGGACCCTGGGGGGAAGGCTTTCTTAGGAGGCCATCTTTCCTCATACTATTTTTGGTTTAAAATCATTAGAATTTGTACTGTCCATCCCCTAGCCTATGAACGAATGAACTGGAGTGTATGGAGATGTAGGATCAACCAGCTGCTGCTTGGAAATCCTACAGTCGCTATGAGTTGGAACCGACTCAATGGCACTTAACAACAAGCTTGAGCTATACTAGTGAAGAAAAGTACGGGAGAGAAGTCTAAAATAATATTTTTTAGAGCTCAGTGATCACTGTCTTTGTATTGGCCACTCTACTCTCAAACAGTGAGCCCAGTGTTAATTTCTGGGGAATTTGTTTCCATTTTCTCTGCTGCCATCAGAACAGATGATGATATAAAGTGAGTCTTTGTTACCAACCTTGCCAGATCAATCTTGAATGTGTAACTGAAGAACATTTAGTAATTCCTTCTAATTACTTTAGCAGAGGACACCCTGGTATTCTGCCTTGGTTTTTAGTTGAAAAGTTGGCATGATTATAAACTAATAGGCAGTAGAGGTGGTTTATCTTTGCTGACCATTGTTGTTCATTGCGGGTTTTCTTCTCTTCCTCGTACACCGCTCCCCCCTTTGAAGCACACAAATGTGGAGAGTGAGGCGAATCTCCATTCTTCCTCCAGCACTTTCTCTACCACATCCAGCACGGTCTCTGCACCTCCCCCAGTGGTCAGCGTCTCCTCTAGTCTCAATAGTGGCAGCAGCCTGGGCCTCAGCCTAGGCAGCAACTCCACAGTCACAGCCTCAACTCGAAGCTCAGTTGCTACGACTTCAGGTAGTTATATAGAAGGTTGGCTGGCATTTCTCTGGGGTGAGGGAGAGAAGTTATTATGTGACAGGATAAAAATGTAATTTCTCTTTTAGGAAAAGCGCCTCCTAACCTCCCTCCTGGAGTCCCGCCGTTGTTGCCTAATCCGTATATTATGGCTCCAGGGTTATTACATGCCTACCCGGTAAGTGGGGCTTCAGGGTATTCTCCAACAGATTAACATGGTGGGGGTTAGTCTTTTTATAGATCTGTTCTAGGTGGAAAATTATATTTTAAATCTTTGTAATTTGGGGAGAAAAAACCATTTTTTAGAGAAGAAAGACTAAACTGAGACTCAACTTTCCATTATTTACCTGCTTGGATAAGACAGATTCTGGACTTCAGAAGTCAAAGATCAGAATGTTCACCTAACATTCTTTCAGTTACTTAGGGAGTTACTTCTGCCCTGGTCTAAGCAGAGGTCTCTGACTTTGTCTGGGACTGCTTTCTCTGAGAATTGGTAGCTGATAGTAGTACCTTTTTGTATAGTCTTTCAGTTTCATTTATTTAGTGCTTATCGTTATGAAGGCTTTGTTTATTTGTTTTTATATAATTTTTTATCAACAACAAATTACCTTAATACCCGTGTTTTGGAATGAGCAAGTAAAATGTGACTCGTTTCTAGAGCAGATCAACTTTAAGCCAGATTAGACTGGAGAAGAAAGCAGGGTATTTATGAGTAACCTGTGTTTGCTTTACTGCAGCCCAAGGGCCAGCCTAGTTGTACAGTACTTGTTAGTGGCATTGAGTCAATTATGATTCATAGCAACCCTTTATAGTGTTTCTGAGGAGTGACTTGGTGGCTTTGAACCACCAATCTTTTGGTTAGCAGCCCAGTGCTTATTCTACAGTGCCACATCAGGACTCTAAATCAGTTGTTAAGTGCTGTCGAGTCCATTCTGACTCATAGTGAACCTTGTAGTACAGGGTTTCCAAGGAGCAGCTGGTGGATTTGAACCACCGACTTTGTGATTCAAACCCATCTTCTTGTCCAGTGCTTATCCTACAGTGCCACACCAGTTGTAGTAGGTTAATAAAAGCTTCAAGACCTTTTGTGAATCACTTAATCTTTTTGTACTTCACTTTTTTCCTCCTAAATGAATTTGGAGGATGTAATTTATGTACATTTATTTGTAAGACTGAGGATGAATCAGTTATTGATTTATATTGCCTTAACTTTTTGGTTGACTTTCATCATAGAATCCTGGTGTGGCACTACAGGATAATGCATTGTACCACAAAATTGGAGGCTCAAACTCACTAGCCACTTCTCAGAAACCCTATATAGGGTCGATGTGAGTCGGAACTGACTCAACAGCACTCAGCAACAACAATTTTCATGACAAGCCCCATTCATATTGGTAAATGTCTGTGTCTTCCAGCCACAAGTATATGGTTATGATGACTTGCAGATGCTTCAGACAAGATTTCCTTTGGTGAGTAATTGGGATAAACCAATTTCAAGAGCGAGATCTTGAAAATTAGTGTTGGGGGATTTATCTCACACGTTCAGTTAATGAATCTTTGAGGCTCTTCTATAATCCTTCCTGTTGTGTACATATTTTGATTTAACCCTTTTGTGACCAAATTATTTTTGGGTTTTAATTTTTTGTTGAAACTATTGTGTTTCGAAGGATATGAGGGGGGGAAATCACTTTTGAGATACAAATATCAATGAATAGTGGGACACATACGTCCCAAGGGGCTTCTGGCAGCATATTCTGAAGCTAAGATAGCAGCTTCCCACTAAACCTCAGAGGCAGAAAATGTAGGTGGGTGCTGTGCTATCTGCCCCATAGGATACAAAAGGGCTTCAAGACTATAGGGGCTGGGAAAGGGTAACTTTTTAGTAAATAAATTTTAGATGAGTTGGGCGGCTAACCACACAAGGTCAGCAGTTCAAATCTACCAGCTACTCCACGGGAAAAGATCAGGCATTCTGCTCCCATAAAAATTTACAGCCTAAGAAACCTATATAGGGTCACTGTGAGTTGGAACCGACTCCATGATGCATAACCACCACCACCACCAGAGTAAGTTAGAACTCTTACCAGTCTTCACAAACTTTGGATTCTAGTAAGAAAGATCTCTTGCTCAATAGAATAAATGTGTTATTTAGATTATTAGAGCTATTAAAAGGAGCCCTGGTAGCATAATGGTTTATGAGCTGGGTTGCTAACTGTAAGGTCAGTTGTTTGGATCTACCAGCTGCTTTGTGGGAGGAGGAAACTTTCTGCTCCCGTAAAAATTTACAGCCTTGGAAACCCTATAGGGTCTCTGTGAATTGGAACCAACTCAGTACCACACCACCACCACCACCAGGGATGTTAGGATTGAGGATCTTATTGGCCCTAGTGTGGCACTGTGGATTAATGCATCAGACTGGAAAGCCGTTTGAACTGCAAGGTTGGCGGTTCAAGCTCACCAGTTGCACCTCAGAAACCCTATACAGGGTCGCCATGGGTCGGAACCGACTTGATGGCACTTGACAACAATGGACCTTGATGTGCTTTCTAGTGAGCATACTTGTAGACCTTGTCTGACTTTGCTCATGGCCAGGCAGGGGGGACAGTGTATGCAAGAATAATTTGGAGTTTATGTGAGTTCTAGCCAGCTTAATCACTGGCTGGATAAATTGCTGTGCTCCAACATTATCCTGCTTCTACTTCTATAGAGGTAATCATGGTGGGGAATGAGTGGAATTGAATCTGTGCTTTTTTATTTCTCTTTTAGGATTACTACAGCATCCCATTCCCCACACCCACCACTCCACTGACTGGGAGGGATGGTAGCCTGGCCAGCAACCCTTATTCTGGTAGGACTGAAATGGGGCTGAACCAAAGGGAGGTTGTGTTGGGATTGTTGGCAGAAACTGGGTAGTAGCAGGAAGGGACCCAATTTCCCTTTCATTGAGCTCTTTGAAAGAAGGAGATAGATTATGGTTGGTAGATTAAGAATCCTGCTAAAGATGAGTTTGTGGCAGCTTTTCCCTTCTCATCCCGCTTTTTATTTGTCTCCCTGTGATTTCCAAATGATGTTGTTGGGACTTGGTTTTCAGTAATTTTTCATCTTTTCTCAGGAAGTACAGTAGTTGACCTGACCGTATGCTCACCTCTGCTCCTGTACCCACCCCTGTTCTCTACTCAAAGTGGCAATCTTAATGTCTTGCTAGGCCTTAGACATTCTTTTTCTGCGTAATTTATCTATCATTGTCTCCACTGATGTATCATTTTTAACTAATCTCTCATTGTTCTTCCATTCCTGGTCACATTTCTGATAGCTATATGGTATTAACTTCCTAATAGCAATTACTAACACTATAGAGTCCCTGTGTGATACAAACAATTTACATACTCAACTGCTAAACGGGTCCATAGGGCTGCTAGCATTAACTCATGGACAAAGTTCAGAATGGTTAGTTAGGAAAGAAGAAGGAATGGAAATTGAAAACACAGGGAAGAAGTCAGATAAATGATAATTAGATTATGGGGAATGCAATTAATGACATCTAGTGTGTATGGCGCTGTAGGATCAGCACTGGACTACAAACCACAAGGTCAGCAGTTCAAACCCACTAGCTGCTCCTAGGAAATGGTATACAATGTTGTTATGATGAGGAACTGACGATGGCACTTAATAACAATCAATGACATAAAGCAAAGTGTGTATCTAAAGTTTAAAAAAATTTTTTTAAAGGATTGGCGGTTTGAGTCTACCCAGGGGTGCCTTTGAAGAATGGCCTGTTTATCAGCCATTGAAAATCCTGTGTAGCACAGTGTTCATGAGGGTCTCCATGGGTTTGAAATGAATCTGTAACTGCTGTTAATTACATATACATACATAAGAGAAGGCTTATGGGAAAATTCCACTATCTTTTCATTCCATTTTTTCACAAACTTTTTGAAGCCTCTTTGTATACATACATTTGAGTTGTGTGCATGCTTTAGTGTTTATAAAATGCTTCATCAGTTATGTCATTTAGGAAAGGAAGAGTTTTAGTTCCACAAGTCCATCATCACAGAGTGTTTGTTCCCCATGAAGGGTGGGGAAGAAAGTTGGCAATGCCACATTGCATAGTTTTCAGCATTAGTCCTTGATTAGCACTTTACTAAGTGTGTGCTGGTGTGGCACTGTAGGGTAAGGTAAGCACTGGACCGTAAAATTGGTTTGAACTACAAGGCTAGTGGTTCAAACTCACCAGCCTCTTCTTGGAAACCCTATATAACAGGGTCAGTGTGTCGAAACTGACTCGACAGCACCACAACTAGAAAGTGTATGAATAATGCTAAGTGTAGCAGCCAAAAAGTGTAATTTTAGGGGTTGAACTTTTAACAGTGAATGGAATCTCTTGGAATCATATAAAACCAGAAGAGGTAATTCTACGTTGGTTTGGGGAGGTGAAAGAGGCAGATACATTGAGCCTCTCCTGTCACAGGTGACCTCACAAAGTTTGGCCGTGGGGATGCCTCCTCCCCAGCCCCGGCCACAACCTTGGCCCAACCCCAACAGAACCAGACGCAGACTCACCACACCACGCAGCAGACATTCCTGAATCCGGCGCTGCCTCCTGGCTACAGTTACACCAGCCTGCCATACTATACAGGGGTCCCGGGCCTCCCCAGCACCTTCCAGTATGGGCCTGCTGTGTTTCCTGTGAGTACCTGGTCTTACTCCTTATGGTAGAGAGCCATAACCCTGGGACACTACCTTTAGTAATGGATGAGAAGAAACAGTTTCTCCCTCTGACCTGTTTTGGCATGGGAGAAGGACTGGGGCTGAGATTGGTGAAATTTGGATGGGGATCACTTGGTTTTAGAATTATCAAAATGGGGAATGTGATATCATATGGCTTTGTTTCCTTTATATTGTTAGTAGCCTGCTACCATTACCCGTTTTCCCTCTTTCAAACTTTTTTTTTTTTAACCTCACTGGTAGATTCTAGATACCTCAGTGGGGAGCCTAAGCAAAATTTGACTAGCCTATATCAAAACAGGTAGTCATCTGAAAGCCTAATCCCGGAATCTCTGGAATAAGATGGGAGCCTTCTGCTGTTTAATTGTAGCTCTGGCCTTTCCTCTTCAGGTGGCTCCTACCTCTTCCAAGCAGCATGGTGTGAATGTCAGTGTGAATGCATCGGCCACTCCTTTCCAACAGCCGAGTGGATATGGGTCTCATGGATACAACACTGGTAAGTTCAACTTGGTCTGTCTCTGGGATAATAATCAGAAGTTTCAGGAAGGAAGACTTGGTGTTTAAGAAAGTGGGGTTAATGTGGGTGTGCTTCCATGTATGAGATACTTAACTGACTTGAGCATCTTATCTGCAGCACCAGCAGAGGAGCTTGTTATTGAACATGTGTGTACTATTCATGAGGAGAAATGTCAGGAGACATATATGTTGGCTCTTAGAATAGGTTGGCTGGCCTGACCTTTGGGGTGGGAATCAGGGCAAGGGGCCCTGAGAGATGTCAATGGAGGCAAGAATTAACATGTATGGCATTGACAGCACAAGAGAGCGATATTCTGCAAGTAGAATGATTAAGTGGGTTCTTAGTTAGCAGACCATGACAGATCTGGCTTAAATCTCTTTGCACTAATTTTCTCACATGATTCCTTTTTTATCCCCTAACCAGAAGGCCTGAGATGTCCCGAGAAAGGAGTAGGCATGGCTTCTTAAGAGTGAAAATTGGGCTGGTAGAGTTGTAACTTTAGTGGTTCCTTCATTTGTATGGACAGTCTCTTTCCTAATTGGAAGTCCATTTGTACATCTCCTGGCAGGGAGGGAAGCATAGGAGTCCTGAATGGGCTCTGACCTAAAATATACTTTGCCTATCCTTCCTCCCATATCTGAAATTTAAACTCAGCTTTTAGAGGACAGGGAGTGAGAAGGGATCTTTGAATAAAGCAATTTCATGTATTTTACGTAGTGGTTTATATGTAGACATAAGGAGGCAGTTGTATTTGTTAGGAGCTGGGTTTCAGGATTGTCCTGCAAAACTCTCAGTTCAGTTACAGTTTAATGGTGATTTGGTTAGCAAAGCAGCTGTGTTTTTCACTGTTGTGTGGGTTCCAGGTGGGTAAATTGCTCAAGATTTTCAGGAAGCTATCTGAGCTAAGCACAAAAGGCAATTAAGTGCCTTAGGAACTAACAGCAGAGTGGACCAAGATTTAAACTAAAGGTTCTAAAAAGCCCCGTTGGGATTTAGTACCTAGACTCCTTGTGACATACCTCTCTCATTGAGCCACGGTCTCCCCTAATTTTTGGTGGGAAGGATTACAAGCTTTTTAACTTGATGTAATGACATTCCGAAAGCAGTAACGGTTAAGTCTTAGCTGAGCCAAGTTCAAGAATATTAAGAGGTATGTGATTGATAATATAAGTAAATGGAATATTTGATTCTGGAAAACTTAGGGCTTTTTTGTTTGTTTGTTTTACTTCCCTTATGACATCAGGAACATGCTAAAACAGCCCTTTGAGAACCCATAGTTCCCGACCCCCCACACAGGGCTCTTGTCATTCCTTCCTTACAACCTCTAAATTCATTTATTTTTATGTATTTGATTCCTTTTAGGAAGAAAATATCCACCCCCTTACAAGCATTTCTGGACGGCTGAGAGCTAATTTGGCCCATGGCTGGGGGCTCTGTTTTGTGTGTGTGTATAAATTTGCACTGAAGTCTTGTTTCAGAAAACAGACCACTGAGGAGAGTCTGCTGAGCTGAGGCCATGGCCTGCGTGGCTTGGGGAAATGAGTTGGTGGATACCTTCTGGGCTTTTGAACTTGCCCCTCACCCATTTCCCTCTCCCCCACGTGTCTGACCCTGTCTTACCCATTTCGAGTTCAAGCGGTGCAGCACCTCCGAAGCATCAATGCACACACCTGCTGTTGCTTTTGATTTCTGGAAGGCATGTAGTTTCAACTTGTAACAAAAATATTTGTAGTCTTCAATAAACTGTGGTATTTCTTTAGCTAACTCTGGCGTTCTTTTCCGTGCATGTCTTTCTGGACAATAGGAGCCGATGTTGTGCTGTGGATGAAGGGTGGAGGGTGGCTTTTTCCATCAAACTCTAGGATAGTTAAAAGAAATAGTTAACTTTCCAGTATGTGGTGATTTTATTAAGACTTGGGGGGAGGGGGAAACAGCCTCAGTTTCCAGCCTGTTGATTGGTTGGTGAAGAAAGCTAGTTCTAGAAAACCCTTACTCCCCTTGCTTGTTATTTCTCATCACTTTTCCATTTAGATTTTCCCCTTGTTTCTGACATAAACAAAAGACAAAAAAGTTATAGAGTATCATGTCATGGTGAAAGGCAAAAGGAGGTAGTGCTAAGATTTGTTGTTGGAAATTCTTTTCCAAGGCTTAATTCCTACATCTGGTTCCCAAATACCAGTTAAAAGTCATTAGTGATCAACTAGCTGATGAGGCAGGCTCTGTAGAAACTGCTAGCCTGGAACATTGTTCTTAAACCCCTTAATGTCTTTTTGGGGCTGGATTATTAGTGGTTTTGCAATTACAGGTGTAGGTAAGGATGTATGGGAGAGGTTTGGTCAGACATCTTCTTGACTGGACATTTTAATCCCCTATCAGTTCAACTAGTACAATATCAGCCCTTTGTTTATCGAGGTAACTTGGCCAGAGATTATCAGTTAATTGGAAACCTTTTGTCCTGTGAAGTGTGACCAACTTCCCCAGTGGCTGCTGCTTCTCCTGATCATCCACATTGTGTTGGTGTGATCATCACTATTTGGAAATGGGGTATAGGCAGGAGGTAGGTGGTGATGTTGGAAGGAAAGTAAGAGGAACTCTGAGGATCTTTCCTTGATTTTTTTTTTTTTTTTTTTTTTTTAGGGTCTCTGATGCTTACACTGAGGCTATGTAAGCTACTACTGCATAGAATATCACTTTTTTTTCCTGCAGTTCTAGTCCTTTCAACCTCATATCCTAGTTTAGGCCTCTGGACGAAAAGCTGATTTTCAGCTAGCCAAAGTTTTGGAAAGAATAAGACCATATTAAGGATACATTGGAACTAGTAAATTCCTCCCTGCCACTCAGCTTTAAAATCCAGTTGGCCATGTCTCCCATTTTGTATGGACAATCCAGCCTCAGTTTTGCTGAGGGTTACCAAGGGGTATCAGCAAATTTTGAGGTTCTCCAGTAAATTGTTCTTTCTTTTGTTTGCCTTTTTAAATGTTCAGTTTATATTCTCTCTCACCTTCACTTCCAATCCTCCCACAAAAACCTTCCTATTAGCTTTTTCCACAACTGAGTTCCTATTAAAGTTATGTCTGTTACCTAGTAATTTCTCAGATGGGCATCTGGGATGTAAAAAGGAATGGGAAAAAATATCCCCTCTTCAGCTCCGTAAAGTTTCTTTACTGACCCCTTCTTTATTCCTTGCCTTTAAAAGTGTGGTGGTGGTGTTGTCAAGTTGGTTCTAACTCATAGTGACCCAGTATAGGGTTTCAAAGGCTGTAAATATATGGGAGCAGAAAGTGTTATATTTCTATCCCTGGAGTGGCTGATAGATTCAGACTGCTAGCCTTGCAGTTAGTAGCCCAACTCGTAACCCATCCCATTACCAGGGCTTCCTTTTAAGTGTAGGGAGTTGATATTTTGGAGATGGGGAAGGGGAAGTATTTTTTCATGCTTGGTTTCTGTTGTTCTGAGTATTCTTTTCCTGGATGGTGGTGTTTGATCCTCCCTGAAACTATCTGGAGTTAAGATGTGGGAAGGGTTACCAGGCTAAAATACTACTATTAGAAAGATTCTGAAGTGGATATACAAAAGTGGGCTTTAACTTTTGGAGGCTGCTTTTTCTCTAGACATTAGGATTCCAGGCTTAAATAAGTATCTGGACTTTGAAGAGGGTTTCTGTGAATTGTGGGTGAATGGAGAACTCATTTTAATTTGGTTAAGTAAATGCTCATGAAACATGTAGCCATCAATGTACTGCTAACAGCAGAGGAGAATGAGTATATACTGCTGAGGGGGAGAATATAAGGGCATTGATGAAAATGAAATGCAAGATTTTTTTGTTGTTATTTCATTTTATCTTTATGGAAATGAATATATCAAAGTTGAAATCATGCTGCAGATTCCTAGATAGATTACTTGTCCTGAATCTTTGCATAAAATTTCTCTGATAAAATGATAGATTACTTATCCCCAGGCTTTTTCTTTTCCTTGTCCCCTATGCCTATTGCCCCACACGGCAGGAGATAGGAGTGTGGCATGTATATTTTAGTTTGAGAGAGAACAATTAAAAGTTGTGGTAGTAAATTTAAAAACACCAAAAAACCCGGGAAATACGGCATTGGGGTTGGGTTTTTATTTCATGGTGAAACTGAAAATGACATTTGAATTTTGTGTTCCTAAATGCAACTGTAGTAGGAGATACAGGCATTCTACTTCCATCTCAAACACCTCCATTGCCAGTTGTACTTAGGCTTAAATTGCATAAATGGAAAGTCATCTTTGTGCCAACCTTTAAGTATTTAACCTAGCAGCTCTGAGATACTGAAAAGGCTGGACTAAGGCTGCTAAGGCTTTGAGAATAAAACTGCTCTTAAGGGTTGAATTGGACTGCTCTAGTTGAGGCATGGATTTCAAGCCTAAAACTGACAGACTTCTGTTTCTTTTAGAAACAGAACTAAGTAGAATTTGGGTGGATTAATTTGAATTGGGAATTAAAAGTTCATTACATTTCTGTTAGGCTTTTGGCTTAGAACTATTTTGCTACTGAGTTTTGGCTGTATCCCTTTCCCTCAAAAATACCATTTACCTCACTTTCGCATACACACTCAAGTACGTGCAAGGGACAAGAGAATCCTTAGGGAGGCTTTGTGTCTTATCCTTTAGGACTGTTCTGTTCTGAAGCTGGAAAAAACAAAATTCCCTTGCAGAGTGATATAGCTAGAAAGACTGCAGACATCACCTCTCAGGAATAGGGCCCAGGCAGCTAGCTGAGCTAATCCTTCTGTCTGTTTCCTCCTCCCTCAGGTGTATCAGTCACCTCCAGTAATACGGGCGTGCCAGATATCTCGGGTTCTGTATACTCCAAAACCCAGGTAGGTACTTGGCTCTGGACAGATGTGTT